ACACACACACACACACACACACACACACACACACACACACAGAGAGAGAGAGAGAGAGAGAGACCAGCAGTAGTCCTGCACAGCGGGAGGGGAGGAGGGGAAAGAAAGGCAGCCGGCAGCAACTTGTACAGATTATCTGTAAATTATAAAGATTTGACTTCATTTTGCAGGTATACTGACGTATAGAGCAATCTCACGGATGTTTTCAAGTCTTACGGATATTTTAAAAACCTCATTTTCAAATTTATGTAACATGTCAGAGCCTATAGGATGATTTAAAAAACAACAAATAACATCAAACAGCCATCTTCCAACCTGTTCTGCCGCTAGAAATAAGTTACTTTTTCCTCTCTCCTTTCCTTCAGCAGGCGCTTTCATGTCCGCAGCTGACATTGAACAGTGAATTTAGTTGAATGTTTGACTTTTTTCTAATTTGATGACAGGTCCACTCATAAACTGACATGACATCATGCAGCTTTCTTCACAATATAAAATAACACTGTGCCAAACAACGATGTTGTAAAAATGAACTTGTGTCAGTTTCATCAACTTGCATGTAAATTAAGAACAATTGATACATGGATGTTTGGTACTGATTAGAAAGCTAATGATGGATGGACTGAGATTTATTTACTGAGCTTTATTTAACCAGGAAAATCTGAACTATGAAAACTAATTTCTACAACTTCCTAGAAATGAAAGTAATATGCCTATCACTTTTATACTGGCCAAAATAAAATGAAACTGTTAATCATGCTGTACATTATGTTTTTAGATCAGTAACTTGTTTCATTAAGTTCACACAACTGACTAGAACGTACTCAAAATAACATTTTATATTTCCTTCACACCTGCCCATCACCTCATCTCTTACCAGAGACACTCTGTCCTACTTGAGACACCCTGTCCTGAGACACTCTGTCCTACCTGCTGCCCCTGACTCTCTGTAACCAGCTCCTAGAGATAGATTAAGTATTAGGTATTTTACTGCCACCTGAAGTCAGTCAGCTTTAAAAACTCAAGAAAATATCATGAAATAACATGAATAAATACCAGATCACTGTATTTTCATTGCATCATTTCACTGTTAAAAAGGAAAGGTTTTCTGACCATGAAGCACTGTTTTTATGCAGAAAATACAGAAACTCTAAAAGAAACTTWAACTTTTTAATGTGATGAATTTATTCTTGCTAAGATAATGAAAAATGAACATGTGTGTGTGTGTGTGTGTGTGTGTGTGTGTGTGTGTGTGTGTGTGTGTGTGTGTGTGT